ATTCTCTTTTCATTAATTTTGTGGGCTTCATTCTAGGGCATATTTTGAGGAGTCCTCAAGCATTTATTGTCATTTAGGGTAAGGGTTCAAGTTGTGGGTCTAGGCAAGGTAGAATAAAAATGAATAGAATATGATAAAATATGAGAAAGTAAGTATTTTCATAATCTTATTATGTCCAAAGGAGGGAAAGCTCTCTGTTCCTGGATCTCCTGTAGTTGGATCCTCTAGAAAAAGAGGAATCTGCCCGAGGAGGGGCCCGCGTCTGATTAGCTAGTTGGTAATTTTCCACCGCCTGTCTAGAGTTGAGCTCTGGGATTTTGACGACCATCTCATCTCTATTTCTAGGGTTTTGCTTGGTTTTCTAGGTTTTCACTAAAAACCTAGCAAGTGAGTTTTAAATGCTTTGTAAAACTGGATACATGCTAAAATGTGTTTTCTAACCTCATTTCAAGCTTTAATTTCAAGTATTACTTTATTATGTGATGATTTGGTCATATAGCCACATACCACATTTGATGAACTTTTATACATGTTCAGAGTAAATCACTACACTGGGGACATGAAAATGATTCTTTTTATATTAAAATTTTATTTGAGATGGATTACATATAACTTGGTCCACTATCACGATATTTCTATGTTAATCATGTGTTGTGGATCTATTGACCTAAATTAGGAATTTTACCTATAAATGCTAGTTTCGTGGTTATAGGTAATATTGTAAACTTATGTGGCAACTTTTAACATGATCTATGGGGATTACCTCAGTGAATTGTTGGATATTTCCATATGGAATTTATGATTAGATATACTTTCAAGTAGGCACTAAGAAGGTTGAGTCTTGAGGTGTTACTCAGAAGGGTAGGCATTAAGAACCACTAAGCTTGAGGCACTATCTTGAAGGTAGGCACTAAGTGAATGTGAGTCTTGAGGTGTTATTCATGAGGATAGACACTAAGGTCAACCTACTCTTGAGGTGAAACTTGTTAAGGGTCATTAGACATTTGGACTTTATGGTTAGGTGTGGCCACCCGACAATATTGGATGAGAGGCATACTTTTGTGTTCCCGCCACTCTCAATGAATACGGATATCCCGGTTGTTTCCGAAAGAATGATATATGTGATTTATAAATAAGAGTGGATGACTTCTTTAACTATTGCTTATTACCGGTACCACATCGAAATAAGTCAATAAACAGTTTAAATAAACAATCCCAAACACCCCCCCCTCCCCCCTAAAACATATTTTTATTTTATTTTGAGTAAACTACATTTTTGGTCATTGTGGTGAAGACGAAATAACATTGTAGGTTTTAGAGCATTTTCAAACAACTATAATATAATTTTTAAAAAATACAGGATTAAAAGTTAAAATCTTTATAAAAATAACATCAAATTTCAATACTCTATTTTAGCCATTATATTATTATTTATATTATTAAAATAGTCAATACATTTAATAAAATATTATTTCTCTTCTAAACTCCTATTGGCGAGAAAGTATTAAATATTATTTCTTCTCTTAAATATGGAGTTTTAGAAATTTCTCCAAATTTGAAGATTTCTACTCCCCCCCCCCCATCTTTTCTCTTTTTTACCATACAGTATAACATAGCTATTGGAGCAAAAATATATCATAAATCTCCTAGATCTATATTTTAGCATAGCTATTGAAGATGTTCAGTGTGGTACTTTTGTACCAAACTCAACCAACCAATATGTGTGTCAACCTTACGGCCTTACCAATTAAATTGGTATGAAATTATAGTCGGTTGGTAATATCGTACCAAGTATACAAACTTGGTTGATACACAGTATTGAAAGTTGCATAATGTAACATCCCAAAAATTGGGACAACAAAAAATTTCCAATTAAAGCTAGAAAATTGGTAGTAAATATCAAAATATGAGCTTTACCCTAAAAGGAGGAATCATCATACACCAGTTAATTACATTTGTAAATAGTTGGGTTTGGGCTAACAACATCCTAATTTAATCCTCAAAGAATTATATTACATTCAGATGTCAACCAAATCATCAAAAGGCTGAAACAAAACATGGTGTCCCAAAAGTGCTCCTTAAAAGCTCTCTACAACTGGTCGATCAAACCTGTTTAGACCCCACTACTAGAACTTAAGATACATGCCGACACAAAAGAAGTGCTAGGCCAAAAAGTCTTTTGATAAGTCACCTCCCCTAACTTATTAGTTTCAACTTATTAGGTTTAGAAAGCAAATTACCCTTTTCTAACCCTTTACTCACGAGATATGACTCATTCCTTCTCACCAACAAATACGCTCCTTCCTTTTCACCCCCTATGCCTCCTTCCTCAAGCGACCGAAAAGGGACCTTCGAATTCCTACCCAAAATCGAACCAATTCATCCTACAATGGGAATAGTAATAACACACATAATCAGTAGAAATCAACGAAGACAGTGATTGATTGATCAAAACAAATATGATTTATGTATAAAATCGATATCGATCCACTTCTTAATCCCCTATTTGCAAAAGATGGAGATAATCGGAAGGATGAGCATATAGGGTTCCAAAAGGATGCTCAGTTGATGGCGATGAATACCTAGAAAATCATCTATGGAGGTTAAAAGAGATAGGGTTACAATATAGATTGGAGATAGGGTTTATAAAGTTTATCGATTGGGGTTTAGGTTTTGCAATTAGGGTTACAGAAGGATGTTAATCCAAATGTTGATGAATACCCCGAAAATCATCGATAGAGGTTAAAGGAGCTGGGTAATGTCCTTTTTTGTCATTTTATGTGTATAAGCAAAATTTGTCAAATACTAAAAACCAACTTTTCAACTTATTACATTTTAGTATCGCCATAAACTAATTCAAACATTTTTTATAGAACTCATGTTTCACAACATATAAGTTGACAAGCCTTAGACATAAGTTGTTTTAAGTAAGCAATCTCAAACACCTCCTTAGACCATCTCTAATGGTGATCTGGATTGTGAGATTGTAAATAAGACAAAAAACTTTAAAATAAAAAAAAGAAAAATGAAATAAATATGGCAATCCTTCTCAAACCAATCTCATCAACCCCATTTCAATGCCACATGTCACATTTCCATTGGTTACTATTAGATTTTTTGGATAAAACTTATCTGATAAAAAAATGACTTTAACAAAAAAAATTAAAGAATAATAAATATACCAAAATTCATGGTTTTCAATTCCCTATAAATAGAGCCACATATTTTCATCGCATCAATCTTTCTCTTCATTTCAATCCTCTCGTTATCTTGCAAACTCCAAAAAAAACTTTCAATTTCTTTCAATTTTCTGCTATGGATCCAAACTTCCCAAAAAAAATTAAATTATCAACATCCTGATAACTCTCAGTATCACTCAAACACACAATATGAAAACTTTGAGTTTTCCATCTATGATAATTAGGTTCCTACTCCTGAAAATACTCAAACACCATAAAAGACTTTTCAGAGCCGATAAATGGGAAACCAAAGAAGATATGGTATTGATGTCAGCATGGATCTATGCTAGTGAAGAACCTACTCGGGGCAAAAACCAGAAGAAACAAACATTTTGGTCACGAGTGAAAGAATGACGAAACTCGATTAGAAAATCGTAAGGACTGGAATCAGGAATGGAAATCAAATGAAAGGTCGTTTTGCACGACTTAACAAAAGTGCAAACAGATGGACTGTTGCATACAGAGAAGCATATCGACAGAAAATAAAGCGAAATGAATATGAAAGATGTTGAGAAAGAGGCTCATGCAATTTATGAGATGGGTGGGAGAAAGTTTAATGACTTGCTTAATTTTTAACGAAGTTATGTGTAAACATCCCAAGTGGGATTTACAGTTAGAAAGTGATACGACACGTTCTCGCCCAAAATATGAAGTGGATAATGAAGAAAGTGGTGGAAGCACAAAAAGATCAAGAACTTCAACAGGAGATTATTTTGTTGAAACCAACCAAGAATCGCCAACTATTGGTAGTTCAACAGTTCAACGTCCTATGGGTAGAGATGCGACAAAGAGAAAAGGAAAATGTAAGGCATCACAATCTTCTTTAGCTCTTGACTATTCTGAAGAATTTCGTGCATTGAACATCACAAGAAACGGTGAGGTTGAAATCATGACCAAAAGACTTGAATTTGAAATAGAGAAAGAAAACCACAAGAATCAACGATAACACCACAAGAATCTGCATATACTGTTGGTGAAAGAACACTTGTCACTAGGAGAAGAGACATTGAAAGAACATCTTTTGAATATGTTATATGGATAGTGGTTTATTTGCAATTTAGAATTCTCTATATGTAATTTGCTATTTTGTGTATCTGTTTGTAACTTGTTTTTCAAGTATGCTATTTGAAGTTTGTTTTTATGTTAAAATGAATGGTTATAATTGTCTCCCAATAATGTGAGATCTCTTTCACTCAGGTTCACATGCCATTGTCTCCCAATAATGTGTTGTCTCTTTCACTCAGGTTCACATGCCATTATCTCCCAATAATGTGGTCTCTTTCACTTAGGTTCACATGTCATTGTCTCCCAATAATGATAGGTCTCTTTCACTCAGGTTCACATGTTATTGTCTCCCAACAATGTGTTGTCTCTTTCAATCAGGTTCACATGCCATTGTCTAATTCCCTTATATATTTGTTGTCTTTCAACAAAGACTTATACATAAAATTATCCTCAAACATCCACTAAAATGTCTCACAATGAAAACTATTCACCAGAATCAGCTGACGAATTTGATGAATGGCAATCACGAGTTGTTCAACAAAACCAACAACTTGATCGCATCATAGAGAATATGGTCATAAACTCATCCAATCTGTTAATAGGATATCAACCTCTAAGAGCAAGTATGAGGTATCATGGCAACATGAGATGGACGAAGTGCGTTTGATGGAAGACAATTTTATCGACAATCTGACGTATGACCATGTTATCTTCTGAAGAAGATTTCAAATGCGAAGACCTATATTTCGTTGTATAATGGATGATGTTACTACTAATGACGAATATTTTCCACAAAGAGCTGATGCCACGGGTAGACAAAGTCTTTCACCATTGCAAATATATATTGCCGCCATTAGGGTGTTGGCATATGGGGCATCAGYTGATGCAGTTGACGAATATTTGAGAATGAGTGGATCCACAACAAGAGAAGCTCTCATGCACTTCGTAGATGGTGTCATCTTATGTTCCGGTGGCGAGTACCTAATAATGCCTAACAAAGCTGACTTGGCAATACTACTCTATGTTGGAGATCAACGTGGATTCCCGGGTATGATGGGTAGTATTGAGTACATGCACTGGGAATGAAAAAATTGTCCAAGTGCATAGGCTGGACAATATGCCGGAAGAAGTGGAAAGCCAACAATTATTTTGGAAGCTGTTGTATCATATGGTTTATGGATATGATATGTTTACTTTAGAACCCCAGGTTCGCTTAATGATATTAATGTACTCCACCGATCTCCTGTTTTTAATGATGTATTGGCAGGCCGGTCACAAAAAATTAGTTATGTCGTGAATGGTCACGAAAATGATAGGACGTATTATCTCACTGATGGCTATATCCTTCATGGATTGCATTATCAAGTCAGTTACATCTCCCCAAATGCGGAAGCACAAGTTATTTGCTCAAGTTCAAGAGACATGCATAAAAGATGTTGAGTGAGCATTTGGAGTTTTACAAGCTCGTTTTGCATTTATTCGACGACCATGTCTTGTTTGGGGCAGACATATAATGAGACAAATTATGATAGCTTGTATCATCATGCATAATATGATAATTGAAGACGAACGAGATGTATATGAAAGTTATTATGATCCTATTGAGTTTCTTAATGACATGCCCACAAATCGACAACAAGGAAGCACTACAGAAGATGATGGTCAATCAACTGAAATATCTACTGAACGGATTTAAAACCTATCTCGTTATATAGCTAATACAGAACAATTTTGCAGTGGGGGTCACTCATAACGCTATAAAATATGATTTGATTGAGCATATATATGGCAAAAATTCGGTCATAATAATTAACTACGATTATTTATGTATTTGAGATATGTAATTTCGTACTTATTTTATTTAATTTCAGTAGTATGATAAGTTTTTTATAATTATAATTTCGTTTTAAAATATATAATGGTTTGTTTATTCTATTCTTATACTTAAAATTAAAAATTATATATATAATTTTTATAAAATAACATTTTAGATTAGACTGAATTGTAGAGAATTATGGTTAAATGATAAAATAAGTAATTAGACTGATTGTAGAGAATTATGATTAAATGATAAAATAAGTAATATTGAATTGAAGATGAATATTATATAGGTGGATAAGAAAAAAACTAATATTTTAATCGAATTTTTTTCTAAAATCTTGCTTTGTTAAAATTTCCCACAAATCGAAAACCTGTGTATCGTTGAGCAAAAAACCCTCTTCCCGCCTACGGCTCAAAACATCGATTGCCGAAACGCCATTTTCATCATCTTCAACCGATTTCTTCACTGGATTGGATCCAAGAGTTAGTGGCAATTGTCTCTTTGATGTATCTAACTAATAAATGCTAGAAATTTGCGTATTGCAATTTATATGAAGCTAGCTACTGTGCTGGATTATTGTAATATGATCCAGTTCGATTCAATTTTGCCGATTCATAAACTTCTTTCTATCTATTATGTAGCAGGAGGAGAAAAGATTGAGGATATGATGAGGAAGACGACGTTCAAGGGAGCGAATGTGTTCATGTCTAGGAATCTAGTGCCGCCTGAGATATTTGATTCACTTCACGACGCTCTCAAGGATAACGGAGCTGATATCTTTCTCTGTTGTGATCCTTCTAGGAATGGACCTAATGATTACCACATTATCTCCTCTCGAGATCATGTATATGGGTGTTCTTTGTATTGGTATATGTTATCTTTATCTTTGTAAGAATTTGAAGCTTACTAATTGTTTCCGATGAATTTTGCAGGAGAGGTTTGAGGATCTGCGGGAGAAAGGTTGTAATTTGCTTGGTATGGCTGTGAGCTTAGCCTCCCAGGTTTTTTAATTTTTTTTATCTGTTCTGACTTGGTTACCATCACTTGTTCAGTTTCTGTTTAATCTTTCTTGAAGGGTACAAAATTGTTTCATTGTTCATGTTTTAATTTTTCTTTTGAACTACTTGAATTATAGCATCCTTAGTTGATATTATTACAAGTACACCAAAAGGACCATAGTTTGAGCTACCAACAGTTGATTAATTTCTTTAAAGTTTTGGAAACGAACAATTGTGATGCTAAACTTTATCATGAGTTACAAACATATTCATATGTTGATTATGCTCAGATATAAAGAGATACTCATTTAAATCATTTTGATAAACGGGCAGTTTGTAGACTTTTTTCTTGAAATGGATAGACAAGGGAAGACAAAACAGATAATGCTGCTATTATTTTAGATTTACATAACTATAAATATGAACTGATCATTTAGTACCTTTTGAATGGATGATTCTCCTACATCCTTATATTGCTTAATCTTTAAGAAACCAATCCGTTTGAATGTAATTTTACTGTAATATTTGATAGTTAGCCTGATTACTTGCTCCTTCACATACTTCATTTCACCTGGATTTAGGCCTTTGAATTGATTGGTCAAAACAAGTGGACTTTATTGAAAGGAAGACGTGAGAAGCAGGTGTAGGCCTAGATCAACTCGGTAGAAGTAGTAAAGTAAAGTGTTACTGTTGGATTATGACAAAGTGCACAACGTTCTGTTGATCTGGAACATGTCTTTATCTCATAGAGGTTGCAAGGAATGTAATTCTCATACTCACTGTCATCTAGGTTCATTGCAGAAGTGTATGTTTTACTCTTCTTTCTTTGGTTACTTTGTCATGGCAAGCACACCATTACCTGGAGTTTAAGATCAATATGGTATTCGGTAGGGCAGAGAGAAATCTTACAGGAGGGATCTTTTCAAGAAAGCCTTTTTCATTTGTTCCACAAGCTTGTCTCCCATGAAGCAGCCAACCAGCAGCTGTGTGAAGTTCAAATTCACTTTGGAGACTGATGTTACATGCATTTCACTTAAGTTCCTGTAATTTCCTGTTATCTTTTTCTGTAGTTTCTATTGAAATCATGGTGATAAACCTAGGAAAGAGACGGTATGATAGCTGGAGCTTATGATGTCAATGGTCAAAAGGTCTTTTTCCCATATTTGTTTGTGTATGTCAACCTTCCTATTGAAAAAGTTGTAGCCTATCCAACTAGCTAGATATTAGGGCTTATTTTGCTGGGATATTTGTTTGTCACCTAGAAAACCTTAATATTGTAACTTGTATGCAGCAGATGAATTTACATGTTTTTCATACAATGTACAATAAATTAAAAAACTCAGCATGATAGCCACTTGTCTCACTAGGAGCTGTATAGACATTAAAAAAACATGATAGTAAGACGTGATGATGTGTTACAATGAGCTACTTGTAACTTTTGCAGGTCCTCAATGTGTGTTATCTTGTGCAAAAGAGCACAGAGTACTGCCCAAACAAGGATTCACTTGTTGTCTTGCGATGGATGGAGTCAAAGTATTGGCATCAGGCTTTGAAATGGAGGGAAAGGTTCTTTTCATGTGGCCACCAATTATATTTACGAGTATTGCATAAAAATGTGTTTGGTGGATCTATTTCTTTCTCTTCTTAATAACATCTCCATTTTTCTTTCTTTATTGGATGGAAAAGGGACCCTACATGGATATATCGTGTTTCTTGCTTTCAGACAGTTCTATTGTTCTATTAAATTTGTATGCCTTTCTCTCAAGCATGGTTGGTCAATTGTGTGATGCCCTATATATGGACATTTATAGCTAACAAATAGCTTGAGAAATACGTATATATATATATATATATATATGGTGTATATATGGTTAATTGATTTCTGCTACTACCATAATCTTCTTTTTTCATTGCTTTAGGACATGATTTACCTTGCTTGTTTTATGACGAGCCTAATACTAAGTAGTAATATATTTTCTATTTTAGCATGTGAACATTCCCTCTATCCAAAATAAGTGACGTTTGGTTCATTTATCTGATGTGCCAATGTAGGAATGACTTGGAAACATGATATATCAAATGTACAATTGTTTGAAATCAACCTCAAAACTGCCCAATTGTGCTTGCAAAAATATGCTATAGTCCATAACAAGGTTCTAAATGGCGTGGCGTGGCGGCGAGGTCTAGGCCTCAAGCCTTATGCACCACGACATGGATGTGACTTTTTCAAGGCGTGACCTAACGCGGAAAATTTGTACATATATATGTGTGTGTGTTTTCTACTATTATTCAATGAGACGATGATATTAAACAATTTAAATTCCTATTAGAAGATGGAAAATCATATATATTCACATCATATATATATTCATATCATATAAATAACTTACATGTATTATTATGATGTATTTTATTTTTGGGTAAAGAATGTTGTGATGTTTAGAACCAACAAAAAGTGATAAACAAAAATGTGAGGTACAAACTCATTACAAAAAGGGTGTTATATTAGATTAAATGAATAAGATGAAGTTATCCTTGCATGTAATCTTCTACATTTTTTATCTCCAAACAAAAGGTAAAAATAATTGAAAAAAAAGAAAAAAAGATTAAAACATTCATGCCTTGCAGAAAACGTACGCCATGGTGTGTTTCAAGCCGCATGGCCTGGGCTTACAAGATGCTATGGAGTTTATCGTGGCTTTGGAGACACGTTTTTTTAGAAGCCTAGTCTATAGATACATACTAACTAACAAAATAGCGAAATTACTACTACTTGTATATGGTAAGCTCATTGAGAGCTTCATTATAAACTCAAAAGCTTCACACATAACACTTTACCATGGTACTCCTTTTTATTAGTTTGGGCAAATTTGAGAAATCGATGTAGGAATTAGCCTATGCATCTTATTTGTAAAGTGAGACAAAATTTGATAGTATATTTGTTGGATGGTATACGGTGACTTATGAAAAATAGTATGTTAACAATTCTTTTGTTTGTTAATTAGATATCATTAATAAGTAAGTGAGGCTAAACGAGGCCATTTGATTTGGGAGAGAGGAAATACTATTTAGGTGTACCAATGATTCACTGTATATGCATTTTTATGCTCACAATTATATATGCACACATAATATTTGTATCTTTGTGCTGTGTACGAGAATACATGCATGCGTGTGTAGTTATACACGTCTAGACATTCATACACACATATATGTGTACACAAGTATATATGTAAAACATATATGTATACACGTATCAGACATGTATGTATATTTATACACACATGTATATATAAATGTATTAACAGTTTCATGTGGACACTTTTGAGTCTTTGGATGAGTTCTTTTTTATTTGACGACTTACAAAAAACATGAACCTTCATCCACCTTCATCGGATGGCTCACAAAATAACGCGGACCTTCACCTACTTTCACATACCTTCGTCCACCTTCACATGCATGAATTTGTTATTGTTTCAATCATGATAATAAAAGGCTAACTAATACTGCACGCCATCATTTAGCTATTCTTTTCCTGATAGTGTACATCTTCGTATCGAGGTTCGAGTCAGGGAAGGATGGCAAAACCTTTGTCCATCACAAATGCTTGACCTTGCCATTGATATGCACTTTTATGGTGCTATGTGGGAGGGGATCAAGATGGTTTCATTTTGCGAGAGATCTTGTCCTCTTTCCCAAGAATGATATGGAAAGGAATTATGATATAACATGGATGAAGTGGCATTGAAGTTTATGATGGCTTGTTTTTGTTTGATTTCTTTTGCCTTTGAAGTTCTATTTTTCCATTGTTTTTGTTATCAGCTAAACATAGTTGGCAACATTAGGACAAAATTCTCTAAATTAACTTTTGTGATTTTTCTTGTTATCGTAACCTCAAGCTTTTAGTTGGTACATTTATAACCTTGTTTTAAACACAAGGACACACGATACATGAAATTCTTTTTGATGCTAAGTTTCTAACAATCTGACAAAGCTATAGTGTGTCAGTGGGTGCCTTTCTACCCCAAGGGTGTGAGGGCATCCTACCTCCTCCTAGACCCTACCCCTGCATGGGGTTTACCGGCTCCATTTGATTTGGTTTATATTGTGTCAGTGGGTATTGAAAAGATCTACAAATGTGAAGATAAACGTGTCCTTTTTATTCGTAAAGTTTGTGGCTACAATATTTGAGGGCATGCTTGATGTTCATCTCCTTATATATGGTTTGTCAAACTCATCTTATATAGCTGTTAAATTGTGATATGTAAATGTATCTTCAAGAAATTGGTTTCTTACCTAGCTAAGTGCATAGTTTTTTCTGTAAATTGTCTTGTAGGTTGAGATTGGCAAGTTAGTGACTGCTATGGGAGGTGTGTTGCAAACTAAAGCATCTTCAGATGTTAGCTTTGTGATTGTGAAGAATGTACTGGCTGCAAAATATAAGGTTTTTGTTTTGTTTACACATAAAAGTAATAACTTTTGTATTTCCTTTCCTGCTTTGTCCAGCTTTTTAAGTCTGAAGTTTATTGTTAATTTTGTCAAGTTTTGTTCAATTCTTTATCACTCTCAACCAACCATTAACCCATAAAATGTTAGTTTCTAGTACTGACATATTGTTTGATTGGTGCTTGAATTGATTATTGTTGAGATTATGTAAGTCCCATGAATCAAGATGTAAATTCCATGGATTGAGGGATTGATTTACTTGAATCAATGCGATGATTGTTTCACATCGAATGCCTATATATTGTAAGGTTTTATGCGATGGAAATTATTTTTAGTTTAATAATACTTGGCTTATTATGGCATTAGAGTATGGATCAAAACCTTAGCTCATTAACCCAAAATCTCAACTAGCATTACTATTCATCATCATTGTTCGGAGTTACTTGCTCTTATTGCACTGTTCATCTGCAATTGTTTGTCATGCAGTTAACAGTATTTCTATCCTTGTTTGGTATTTGATTAACTCTAACCATAATGACTGGATCTTCTTAGAAAACAAAGAGTATGGTCTCATTTACACTTTTCAACTAATGAAAAAAATACTTGCCACTGAACGCAGTCCAACATGCAACCTTCGTTGCAACTACTGTTGCTGATATTCTATGGTTTGTCTCTCTCACTCTACACCTATTAAATGGGTTTTCGATTTTCGGTGCTTCCTATCATATGACTGGTAATCCTTATTTTTATGAATATCACAACCCAAATTTCCATATTATGTTGACGAGTCTCACTCACTTCCTCAATGTTTTTGAATGTTGTCTTGTTAGTTCCAAATTGTTCCTTTAATTTGGTTTCCATAAGTAAATTAATTTGCTCCTTAAGGATTCAAGCAAACAACTTCTAAGGTGATTGCCTGTCTTCTGTTTTGGTTTGGTAACAAACCTGAGACACATATTTGGTGTTCAAATTTCTTGAGTTTATTCATGCTTTTTGTTATTACATTCTCCTTTTATTTAGTAGCTATGTATTTCATGCTATATGTGTTTGAAATGCATAATATAAGAACATATTGGTGTAAATTGTTACTGTGAAATTAGGGCCAAAGAGAATGGCCATGAAAGAACGGTTGAAATGAGGTTCGGTGGAATAAGAATCACCAAGATAGTATAACCGCGGCAGGGGGTCATAGAAATGGTCCCAAACCCTTGACGAGGAGGTCTATAAAGAAACCGGAAAGGTGCGGCACCCAACGGAAAAATTGAAATATGGAAATATGAAATGTCATTATGCATATACATGATACAATAGCTAATTTGAGGCTGTAAATTGATGCTATTGAAATTTCATGCATTAAAATGAGACTTGTAGTCACTAACGATCAATGGCTTAAAGTTTTAAATATGTATCTCAGCATTGGACAAGGCTACGTGAGAGGTGAAACAAAAGTCTCGAAGAAGTCATCAAAGGCTACATGTCGTGGTCCTGTTAGCCGTCAGTTTGATTTGTATAGTTAGGCTTTAGAATGTATCTTAGCATGTGTTGTTAGAAGATAAAAATGTACTTTGTGACTATGATTCATTGTGAAATATTTGGCATAAATTAACTATGATTATTTGAAGTCTAATTGCTTTCATATTTTACTAATGTCTTCCTTTTGTTTGTATATGAATGGCAATGGAACTCGGTTCGTAACACCCTTTGTTGGGTCTCAGTTAGGGACAGAAATGTGGGGCCTTACAATTAGTAGTTCAATAATTACCATTGCACATGCTAGGAATGTAAAAACTATGAGCTTTTGCTTGATGGGGGAGGATTGTAGTATATTACCATGGGTAGTATGATATTTTATTATCAATATATACACAAATACATATGTATATATTCATATATGCACATTTATATATCATCTATACACATGTATGTGCACACTTGCTTCATATGTATGCATGTTTATAAATGCATCTATATTAAATATACTAAGGCTTAGGAGATGTAGACATTTGATTGAAGCCTTCTTACTCTACCATGTTGGCCAAATGTCTTTGCTAAGTTGGGAAAATCTCGACTCTTTCTCCCTCTCCCCACTATGTTCAAGGTGTCACTATATGCTGCTCTGTTTTTTTTTCCTATGCAATTTGCATGCCAAATATTTTAAAGCCTGTTAATTCATCTACTTTTGTTTTCTTACATGTTTTACAGTGGGCTTTGAACACTTTGAAGAAACCAATTGTATCCGAGAGTTGGCTGCACCAGTGCTGGAAAGAGCATCGTGTTGTTCCTCATGAATCATACAGAGTTCTTCCATTTTTTGGGTTGACAATTAGCGTCACCCAAGTTCCCTTAGGTTGACTAGCATGGAATCATTTGAACATTGTCATAGCACTGTCTTTATGTTAACTCTCAAGTCCTTGACATATGTTGATCTTTTCATGCGTGGTTAACATGTTTGTTTCTCACAGATGCGCGGAAGGAGATAGAAAAGCTTGTCCTACAGAATGGAGGGAAATATTCTGCTGAGCTAACGAGAAAGAGTACTCATTTAGTGTGTGATATATCCTTAATTTTAATTTACACGAGAGGAAATTAATAACAGTTGTCTTTTGGTCATTAAAGATTGCTATCTTGACAAGGGTCTTTATTCGTATCTTTGGTTATTTATATCTATAGCCATGACTTCCCTTACATGATGAATGTGCCATATTTATGTTATTTAGATTTCTGCCATTCCATTTTAAATTTAATCGCTATGTCTCTTGCGACATTAAATGATGGTTTTATTCTATTTGGCTCATCACTTTTTAGGTCAAACATCAATCCAGTTGACAATTTTGTCACTATGTTGCTTTCACTTTGGATTGTATTTGTAGTGTGCAATCCTTCCAATTACAGAATCACATGTACTCTATGAGCTTGAACCTTGATCATTTACTCAAGGAGACTACATGTTAGGTGAGTAAAATGACACTGGTATATGTCATCCATGAGAGCTAGCCCAAGGGAGAGGGTGCCTAGGTCATACACAAATCAAACCAAAATATTCATTTCCACCTGATGTGGAACTAATCGTCATGCTTGTACGTCAACGTCCATGGTGGATTTCACTTTGGCACTGACAACATATTATGTTGATCCTTTGTCTCGAATGCACCTATCCATGTATATTATCCTTCTCTGGTTTGCGGGTAGTTTGCCAATCATCCCATTTAGGTAGAATTCATCCCAGGTAGAGGGTATCCAAGGCATATATACAAATCACACCAAGCATTCTATTTTACCTGAAGTAGGAATATGCTTATAAATAGTCTAGTTCATGCAGAGTTTTGCAACTTTTTAGGCCCATACTTTACTAGCAGTCAAGTGGTTTTTTATTTGTTTATGCTTTTACGAGTAGCAAGATTTATCAAGTGTTTGTTTTGGGGTTGCTGGACGGTATGCACCCTCTATGACCAGAGAATATTGGCATGACCATTTGTATTTGTGAACAATTTGTTGGCTTAAAGTCGGAGCTATCTATTCCTTGTCTTTCATTCTTGTGATATAATTCGTTTTCGCTACGGCTTCGGTGGGTTTTCTTAACCAAAAGCCATTAAACCAAATTCCATCCTCCCCCGACTCCATGTACGAATAAAGTGGTAAAGGGGTAATAAAGTGTGAACAATGACAGTTGTGTACCATAGTCAGTAGGGTGCCTACTTGATATTGCATTGTTTGCTTCATAAATGTTGATATGTTTGTTTGATCATTTTGTACATCATTTTAATCATACTTTAAATGGATTATTCCAAGTACTTACTTCTATATTGTCTTAAATAAAAAATGTCTCCTTAACTGCTAACACGCTCCTGAAGGTGACAAATACAAGGTTGCCAAAAGATGGGGTCATATTCATATTGTTACTAGGGCATGGTTCGACCAGTCTGTTGCTAGAAGAGGTAATACTTGACGTCAATGCCAAACTTGAACTGTAATGTTATTTGAATTCTTAAAATTTAATATTATGATTTCATTGAGCTCTGATATTTGCCTCTTTAGCGGTTGATTGTGTTGATGTCTAAGCATGTTTTTGCAAGCTTCTTGGGTTTAAGTCTTACGGTTTAAATTGTTTCTTTCAGTAAAATGGTGTTCATGTAACGTGGGTTAGCTTGGTCATGTTAGCTCAATTTATTTTTGTGCATGTAAAGGGTAGTTTTAGATCTTGGATGCTATTTTCAAGCTATGCTTTGCTCCGCTATAGCGGTTGTGTAGCTGTTTGCGTTCATGGGACAAATAGCAGTGGTCAAATCACGGTCTCACAATTAGTGGCTATATTGACTGCTAAATGACCGCATTTTGAATGCAAAAAAGCGCCCGCATAACCGCTAATTGTAGATAATTTGTTTTGGTGTGTAAAAAGTAATTTTGTGGGCTTTTATTTTGGACCTATATTGGGTTTTATTTTAGCCCAACAATATCAAGGCTTCATTATTTTTACTTTTTCTGGACATGGACACCATTATTCTTATTTTTTAGATTTGGACACCATCACTTTGACCTCTGGTTTTGAATAAAAGTATTCACATTGTTCAATTTATTATTATTTGGACTTGGACATCGTTATTCTTATTAATTTTTACCGAATACATATAACGTGTTGAGTTATGTATGCATATATATATATATATATAACTCTAATTATTATATGAACCACTATTTTTGGATCACTATTTCATCGTGATAACCGCTATTTCAAATCACGGTCCCTGAAGTTTCATATTTTGACCGCTGTAACAGCATAGTTTTCAAGTCTTATTTCTTGTAGCGTATGCTTTCAATTAGTTGATGGTCTGGCATGAATTTATGATGCTTCAGCTTGGTTTCTGACAATCAAATATCTTTTGTGATAAATAGCATGTCTGAGTGAGGAGTCATATCCTGTCCAGAGAAGCCCTGTCACATCTATGAATAGTCAAAGGACTTCTTTAACGGTGCAGCGCAGTCAGGACAAGGTTACCAGAAACTCACAGTGTGGTCCTCATTCTATGACCCATCAAGAGATTTCATGTGACGGGATGGCCGATGCAGACCTGGAAGCAACTCTCTCGCAGAATATGGCTTCTACTTTCTCAGATATTCCCATCTTTATTAACGAGGACAATAGAGTACCTAGCATACAGCCTAAAAGTTCTGTGAACATTGATGGTTGTGTTGCCAAAGACTCTCAATCTGAAGACAATGATTTGTACTTGTTGAATTGCAAAATTCATCTTGTTGGTTTTGATGCTTCTGAAATGCGTAGATTGGTCAACATGGTTCGAAGAGGAGCTGGTTCCCGTTACATGTCTCTCAATGAACAATTAACACACATTGTTGTTGGAACTCCCTCAGAAACGTAAATATCTTCTCATGCCAATCAATTATCTTATATCTTATTACATTGTTTTTGTATTAATGCTCAAAATATGTGTGACATCATTGACATCCATCGTAATGCCATTTGACAGTGTCTAATTTCCTTCAATTGTACTTCACTTATCCCTTAAATACAAAAAGGAAGAAGTTAATAGGTTGCTTATATAAAGAAAAGTATGGTCCAAAGCGACTCATTTGCTATGATTACTGCAGTGAGAAGAAAGAAGTAAGGAGCCTATCTGCTATGGGTGTCATCAATGTGGTAAGAACAGTATGGCTTGAGGATTGTGAACGTGAAAAGAAAGAAATTCCTGTACTCCGGAGACATGTTGCTTATGATTTGCTCCTCCCAAAAGGTGTGGCATTCATCTCATAATATCTATTGGATTCATGTTACTTAAATTGTTGATACTAAACTACCATGTGTCTTTCTATCATATTTTCATGATTACAACTACGGCAGTGTCACAAATTTGGCAACCTTGGAAACCTTGTATCAATTTGTTTATCTTGTTCACCAACTGCATTTTCTGTTTTGTAGATTCCACATCTTTTAGTAAAGGATCTGTAAGTGCCATACCTGGTCCGAAACAAGGGAACCTCTCAACCTTGCAACCAATTTTGCCCAGTGATCAATCCCAAAGGTACGAATTCTAGTTTTTTGATGTCTCTGGGGAAGAGAAAAGGACCAAAGTTACCATGAACACAAAAGTTCCCTCAAAGGAATCTTTGGGTTGTAAGTTTAACCAAAACAAATTTTCTAATATTTGGCAGTTTTAATAAGGGTCAACAGACAGTTCAGCATGGTATCAGGAATGAAAGCCAGGACAATGTATCTAGTGTATTTAGAGGCCGATCATTTCGCTTTTCCAGTTCCTTTCCTGATGTTCAAGTAAGCCTGTCTTTCTTCACGTTATAAATTAGTTTTAGTTGTTGAAAAGCCAAATTATTGGGGCTCGTTGATATGTTGAGCAAAATTTATGGCGTATGGTGGCAGTCCTACTATTTTCTAACTTGCAACACACACACATATATGCACATATAGGGAAAGGTTAAATAGATAACACCTTAGTTTTACGAAAACGTGAGAACACCCTTTATACACACACACACACACACACACACACACACATATATATATATATATATATCTGTTAAAGAGGGTATGGACTAAAAACTCGATGTTTCGGGGAGGCTGTAATACATTGGATAGTAATCACTAGTGTAAAATTTTTATGTGCATCGTCTACTAGAGTGTACAAGTCATTTTTCCCATTGGAACTAATGTTAGCTTAATTCATATGTGCGCAAGTGTTTTCTAAGTGATTTACTTAACATGCTGGCTTGTAAAATGTCTTAGAAGGTCTAGTAATTTATTTTAAAGATTCTGACCTGTAAATATAGTAACAGCTCTGGATCAAGTAAGTTACCAAATAAGCTGATTCTTTCGAGTTTTCTATCTGTATTTAATAGTTTTTGAGAAAAGGAAAAAGAGAGAGAAGAATGAAGTCTGCTGACTAAGATCTGTGCATTAGGTAGAGTTCCAAGTGTAGTAGTCTCAGTCATTGATATGATCATAAATAAGTAAGGTACAAAAACTATCCTTGGACCTCTGACCAGATTACAGTTTCAGTCACCTCAACTTTTTTGCACTTCCAGTCAACTTCAATTGGATCACCTTATCCAGGATGAAGTATGAAACGATTAATTTGCCTGTGCTAAAAAAGTCATGTACATGGTACATGACTATTCTTTGAAAAAACAAAAATGTCAAAAACAACCGAAGTGTTGAAAGAATGAGTACATATTTGTAATAACCATAACAAGTTTCTGCATTTTTTTCTAGTGCATAAAATATTCTTATGCAACAGACATACTTGAGCAATGGAAGGATTGAATGATATGTGAAGGAACTAAATAATGTGAGTTTTTGTTTGTCACGAACGTTTCCTAGGTGAACACACATCTCACCATTGGTTTGGTGTCATGCAGTGCATTTAAAATGTGCCCCTCCACAAAGATGATAGGTTAGGTCGCTAAATTGTGACAATTTTTTATTTTCAAAGATTTGGCAGCAACTCTGGTTTGCAATAGGCATTCAACTACTTGCTGGATGCTAAGACCGGTGGGGAACAACCTTAATTGGCTGCTAGAGGAAAAATTATACAGGGGATAGGTTTTCATATCAAAGTGGAAGTTCAGATACCATGAAAATGTTTAGTCTATCATTGAATGAAATTGTGAGGGAGGATCTTGTTCAAATAGAGTATTGTAAATGGATAATTTAGTAAACAAGTAGAAACCCTAGTTAGCAGGGAGAATGGGGGACCAATTATAATAGGCAGGACCCTTTGTCTACCGGCTTAAATGCTTTTTGCTGTTGGAAAGCATTTTGCAAGATATTGTGTTGGAAAATGATGATGAACCTCTGTTTGGTTCTACATGTGTGGGAAGGGGATCTTAAGGAGTAAGTATGGAATACAACTCTTGTAGCCTGTCATCTATATGATATGATAAAGAAGAAACCAATGCAACAACATGCCTCACAAACATGGCGAGAGAGAGAGAACCAACATTGGTAACAAATTTGATGTATCAGCCTGGGGATTTGTTATCTGAACCCTTTTTTTCATCACAAGTTTTTAGATAAATTGGTGTTTAAAATCACTAAAAACAGCTATAATTTTATTTCTATATTTGATGGAGATATTGGCGTCAGACAGGTTTTTGGAACTTTATGTCAGTAGGCTTTTTAATTGTGAACTTTTTGTTCAACCTCATTGTGTTCTTGGTATAACAGCTTTGCTTCATGTGACTTATTTACTTTTAAGTTATTAAAAGCTCTTGAGTCTGTTACCTGTGTTTCAATGCTTGTTAATTTGTTTGCTTATCTGTTCAGAGAGCTGAAATTGTCGATTGGATTCATGAAGGAGGCGGCGAAGTGGTGGACACTAGGGCTGAAAAAACTGTTAATTACACTGTTGAAACCCATGGTGTTCTATGCAGTCCATCCCAATTTAGTGGTGTTACTAATGTATCCTCTCACTGGATTCGCTCATGTCTACAGGTATTTAATTAATCTGTTATCGTATAATCACGTAGGCAAATAAAAGATCTGTTTTGTTGACCTAAACATATTACAGACAATTGTATACAAGTATTTGATGCTATTGTTAGAATATGCCATCCTATTTATCTTAGTTATCAGGGTTTCCCTAATATCATTAACGCACTGCCATGACCCACCATGCTTTAGGTTTATTGAATAAATCACGCTTGAAATTCTTCTGTGTTTTCATGGTATGAGATCTATATGGATTCATGGTACAAATCTTAAGAGCAGTTCATTACTACTGCAGTACTGCTACATCACCAAACAAAGAAACCATCATTTGACAAACCCTGACGGTCACCGCCATCATTCCAGCTGCCACCATCAAACAAGTCTGCATGTAGCAGATTTTAAGCTCTCTAGACTCTTGCGACCACCCTTGTAATATGATATCGTACTTGAGAGAAAAGAACTTTTATGTGGTAGGTAACATCGATGAAGCTATGGCGAAGGTATGAACTAAGAAATGGGGAGCAGTTCGAAGAAATGACCTTGAATCTCTGTAGTGACCTCAATTGTATGTATTATGTAAACTTTAGGATTCCTGATCCTAGCAGGAAAAAAAGGGAAACTTGATTATTGCATGTGACGTCTACCGTGCCTTGCTACTCTGGATCCAGACCATAACAAAATAGGATAGGCTTGTTTCTTGCTTTTCTAACACACTAGAGATTTCCACCAATAAAATCGTAGTTGCCAGGGTGGAAAACAAACTCCTCATAGTTGATGTTGTAAGACTGAGAATACCTTTTGCAACGAGACAACCTTTAGGAAATACAAACAACCACAAATGATAAAGGTAGGATTTTGGTATGATGGTGCTTTTAGCTTTTGAATGCCTTGAGCACTAGCAAGGCCGCAGCTGGCACGCTATGCTAAATCTGGTCCCAATTAGTATATCTGGCATGGGGGTGCACTGTGCAATGGGGCACTTATGATATATGGTGAGTACTATATTCTTGATGAAGTTTGAGCCATTGGTTGGCTTCCAAGAACAATCATTCTACTTAAAGGCATTTATCTCTTCTTGTGTTTCCCTTAACCACCCTTGGTGATTAAGGGTTCAACGTTTGTGGGAATAGAATCGGTATCTATTGTAGAGATGAGAGAATATGATATACGAGATAAGCAGTATAGGTGAGTTAATTTGCTATGGATGACAAGTAGAAGTACGAATGTCCTTCCCTTAGAAGATGAAATAACTCTATGAGTCTTTCTGGTTATTTAATTATAATCGACTATAATTAAGCTTTCAATTAACATATTGTTTTTGTGTTGCATACTTGCATTTATCTTAGTTGCATGTGTAACTTCTAATGAAAGTTGAACTTTCTGCTGAAGGATGGCTACTTGCTTGACGTTAGCAGTCACATTCTCTTTTCTCCACTTCAATGCAAAGTTCCATTACCTGGATTTATAGGGCTTCACTTTTGCGTATCCCAGTATGAGGAAAAGGACAGAGAGCTACTGAGAAACTTATGCCATATTCTTGGAGGAAGATTGGTTAACAGGTTGACTAAAAAGGTAAACTATTTAATATGCAAATTCACCGAAGGTCCAAAATACGTGGCTGCTTGTGAATGGGGGATACAAACAGTGACAATCAAGTGGATTTGGGAGTGTGTTAAGCAGGTTGGCCCAAAAACTGCATTTTTCTATTTCATGTTTGTATATGGATACTTTAGACCTGTGTTTTTTCTTTCTTTTTCTTCTTTTGTTTTTGCTGCTCACCAGAAAAATCTATTTGCTACTCTGGCAGAACAAGATAGTTGCATCCGGCCAATTTTTGCCGAAAGAAGCCACCATCAGTGATCGAGAGGCAGGAATGTGCACTACCAGCCAGTATCCAACTCAGGCTGTTGGAATGGTTTCTGCAGCTCGTTCATCTGAACTAGCAAGTCAATCCCAGGACCCCAAAACCGTTGACGGCCAAGTTGATACCAGAGCTTTCATTGCAAGGAAGGAGGTGAAGTATTCAGTTATGTGCGGTAAAAGATCAAGGCTCTCTGAAGATAGATCAAGTCATGAAGATCCTGTTATCCCTACTGAAACGAATATTACTGGAAATGGTGGGGATGTTTCCAAGTCAGTCCCTGATGTCGCTGCTGCTATCGAAGATTTGCTGGAGCAGACAAGCAAGGTAAAACAAACAAACAGATTATTGTTGGTTTTTTGATTGTGCTGTTGTGAACTGGCTTGTGTACCTTGGTTTCAGATTCATGATCAGAAGTCACCGGAGAGAAGAACAGCTGAAAAAAATGTATCCGAGGTACATTTATTTTTTTTTCTTTGAACTATTTATCATCTACATTAGATTAATCCCAATTGTTGCAGGTGTTTACATCTGATTGTTCGAGGCTTGGCCATGATCAGAATCCTCATTCTGCGTTTGGGTTGTCTAAGCACTGGACAAGGAGGTGAGATCTTGCTTTCTGTGTATTGGTTGGCTTTGGATTGGATCTTCATCTGCATACTTGTTTGCTATTGTGTTCCAGGTCTAATGAAAAGGACGACATTACCAACCCCGGTGGAGAAGAAAATACCGGCATTTATGGAGGTTTCAGTGAAACACAAACAGAATCTCAGGTTTCTGCTCTTTATCTCTTGCTGACTCGAAATTTGATAAACTTCCACAGCCTTTTTCAATTACATCACTGGACCGAAAGATTTACACAGCCATTGCAATAGAAATATTTCCTATTGTTTGCCTGGTTTTCCATTAAGTCCTGTATGGATGAAGCTGACTGTGTGGATTAATCTGTCTGTATGGATTGGGAGGGTTTTTTATAGATGGAAAGAACGCGTTTTTTAATTGGAAGGGGCATGTTTATAAAAACTTGGCTTTCTGCATAAAACTCTCCCTAGAAGCTTACTGAATAAGCCACTTTCCATATCATTAAATACCAACCAGTCACCTATAGCTTACCGAATAAGCTGTGAGTCTCATTAAGCTGTTAACAAACAGACCCTTAAACAAATGTGGAATATTTTTTACGTGCTGAGTTTGGCCAATGAAATGCTAAATTTGTTCAACATTTTTAATGGTTTTGATTCCTACTCAACATAATCTATCCATCCAACAAAATAAATAATATATTTGTTATATAGTTCACAACTACTCATTATTTTGAGCATGGAAGTCAGGTGATTGAGAACAAAACAACCACATTTATATGCACACATAGATACGTAAATACAGATATACATGCTTGTATATAGGGAGGTTCAAATAAAAAAAAGCAAAAAGGTTGAGAACGTAAGAATAAATGATTAATATGTGAATCATTGGTAAAAGGAAGCGTGAGTTCACATATGGATCTTCATATGTGGATAATTGGTAAAATGGTAGGTAGGGAAACATGGGTTTACTGTTAAGATCCTCAATATTCTTGAAGATACTCAATATCCTTGAAGATAATCGATATCATTGTAAAATAGGAATTGGAGATTATGGGTAATATCTCCTTGTAATTTGCTGCGGTGAATATCTTAGGAATTCTTTCCTTTTCTTCTCATATTCTGTGTATATATAGCCTTTGTACCTCTATCTTTTGAGACAAGTGAAATAAACAAAGAATTCTACATGGTATTAGAGCTCGGTTCCGTAACAATCACTAGTTTCAAAAAATCAAAAAAATTTGGTACGATTTTTTTCCTTAGACTGAAATTTCCTTTCATCATTTTTTTCTTGATTGACAAGTTTCCTTGGGTTGGAAGTTTTCTGCTCGTCGGTTTCTTTGGCACCCTGTGAGTGCGATTATCCTCATCTCTATTCGTCGGCTATTTGGCACCCTGTGAGTGCCGTTCGTGTTTGCTATCCTTCGTCCTAAGTTCTATGTTCTCTCTTCTAGTTCGTGATTTATTGGAAGATGACTGGAGAAGATAAAACATCTGACAGTAACAGTAGTTTACGTGTAACCGAGATGCTTCAGGTAAATATTAAGCTCACCAACAACAAGCTTAATGGCTCCAACTACTTTGAGTGGAGCAAAACTATTCGTATCTATCTTCGGAGCATGGGAATGGCTTCTCATCTCACATCGGATCCTCTTAAAGGTGACGGTTCTGATTCATGGTTCCAAAGGGATGCTCGTTTGTACTTGCAAGTTATCAATACTATTGAGCCTTCTGTTTCGTCTCTGGTTAGTCACTGTGAATATATGAAGGAACTTATGAATTATCTTTATTTTTTGTATTATGGACAAAGTAACATCTCTCGAATCTATAGTGTTTGTAAGTCCTTTCATCGTGGAGAACAGCAGGACTGATCACTCACTACGTATGTCATGGAGTTCAAGAAAGTGTATGAGGAGCTTAACTCTCTTCTTCCATTAAGTGATGATGTCAAGGCCATGCAGACTCAGAGGGAACAAGTGGCTGTTATCAGTTTCTTGAGTGGTTTGCGACCAGAATATGACTATCATATCTCAGTTCTTGAACGAATCTGCTATTCCTTCTCTTTAAGAAACATTTGCCCGTGTTCATAGGAATGAGAATCTTCAGGCTTCTCAAACTTCTGATCACAACAGTGCTCTGGTTAGTCGAGGGGGATTTCATGGTAGCTACCGAGGAGGATTTCGTGGGGGTTACCATGTGTAGCTCTGGAGGTGGCCACAATGAACAAACAACTAACTCACGGGCTACCATTCCAAATTCTGATGATGTTGAGTGTGACTACTGCCATGAGTTAGGTGACACCAAGCGCACATGTAAGAAGCTTTTGGCCAGACATCCGAGGAGTTTATCAGCGCACGTTGCCTCTGCCTTAGATAGTACTGTTACTATAACTGCAGAAAAATATGCTCGACTTTTAGGGACTGAGAATTCCACTTTTGCGACTGCTGCATTTGCTGAGACAAGTAACTCTAGTACATGCCTATTATCTTTTGCCTCCAAATGGGTCATTGATTAAGGTGCTTCAGATCACATGACAGGTAATCCCACCATCTTCTCTAATTTCAATAAATACAGATCCCCATCACATGTCACAATTGCTGACGGGTTTACCACACCTTTCCTTGGTTCTGGCACCATCGACCTTACCCATCTGTTTCGTTATCTTCTGTATTGAGCCTACCTAATTTCTCGTTCAATTTGTTATCAGTCAGCAAAATTACCCGTGCTTTAAATTGTTCTTTTCTTTCCTGATTTCTATGTCTTTCACGATTTATCGACGAAGATGATTATTAGTAGAGGGCGGGAGACTGATGGCTTATACATATTTGAACATCAAGTACCTTCCTCATTGACTTGTTCCAGCTCATCGTCTCCACTTGAAGTTCATTGTCGATTAGGTCATCCACTTGTCAGTTTGCCAAACATCAACGTATTCATTTAAGTCCTAGAATCTGCAATAAGAGAGCCTCATCCCCATTTGAGTTAGTCCATTATGATGTTTGGGGATCATGTCCTGTTACTTCAGAACTTGGATTTAAGTATTTTGTTAGGTTTGTTGATGATTACTCTCGCACTACTTGGCTTTACTTTATGAAAAATCGTTCTGAGGTATTCACATATTTTTTGTTCACTCTATGCTGAGGTTAAAACCCAGTTTAAAGTCTCCATTCAAACTCTTCGTAGTGATAATGCAAAAGAATATTTGTCCCAAATATTACAGTCATATATGATTCAAAATGGTATTCTTCATGAGTCTTCCTGTGTTGACACACCAGCCCAAAATGGGGTTGCGGAACGAAAGAATCGCCATCTCTTAGAGGTGTCTCGGGCTCTACTATTTCACATGACTGTTTCTAAAGTCTTCTGGGTTGATGCGGTTGCTACCGCTTGTTTTCTTATCAACCGAATGCCTTCCGCTGTTTTGGATGGTAAAAGTCCTTCTCAGTTCTGTTTTCTACAAAATCATTGTTTTCTGCTGACCCAAAGATCTTTGGTAGTTCCTGTTTTGTCCGCGATACCCGACCTCACATAACTAAGTTAGATCCAAAGTTTCTGAAATGTGTCTTTCTTGGTTACTCTCGACTTCAAAAAGGCTATAAGTGTTTTTCCTTCATGCTTAATCGATACATTGTATCACGAGGCGTTACATTCCATGAGAATATACCCTTTTTTCCTATGTCCACTCCTTGCAACCCAAGAGATAGTGATGATTTGTTGGTGTATACCATACCTGTTCCTCAGTCTACTACCCCATCCGACTCGACACAACCCCAAGAGCCTAATAGACCACCGATAGTTCATGTATATAATAAGCTGCAATGACCTATATCAGATCCCGGCCCAACACCATCTTCATCATCGTCTGCAGATCCGCCTAATGATGATCCTCTTGCTTCGAGTGATCCACCACCTTCCGATACACAATTCTTGATTTTGATGTTCCTATTGTTCTTCGAAAGGGTTAGCGCTCATGTACTTACCCTATTTCTTCTGTTGATCCTATTTCTTCACGTTCTCGTTCTTTGATCTCTACACTCGATTCTTTATATGTTCCTAAAACGGTTGGTGAAGCTTTGGCCTATCCTGGATGACAGGATGCTATGATTGATGAGTTGAATGCTCTCGATCATAATGATACATGCGATTTGATAGAGTTACATGTAGACAAAAAGGCAATTGGCTGTAAATGGGTATTCATTGTGAAAGATAATCCAGATGGATCTGTGGTTCGTCTGAAAGCCCGATTGGTAGCCAAACGATATGCTCAGACTTATGGGGTCGACTACCACGAGACATTTTCTCATGTGGCTAAGGTACCCTCCATCCGCCTGTTTGTTTCATTAGCCGTTACTTACGACTGGGTACTACACCAACTGGATGTGAAAAATGCCTTCTTGCATGATGATTTACATGAGGAAGTCGATATGGAGCAACCACCTGGGTTTGTTGCTCAGGGGGACTCTGGTAGAGTTTGTAAACTGCGTAAATCATTGTATGGTTTAAAACAATCCCCTCGTGCTTGGTTGAGACGGTTTAATGTTGTAGTGACTGAGTTTGGCTTACGGAGGAGCTCTTATGATTATTTTGTGTTCTTTACTGAGTCATCTTCCAGATGTATTCTATTAGTGGTATACGTTGATGACATTGTGATTAGCGGGAGTGATGAGACTGGGATCAAGAAGCTAAAAGATTTTCTTGCATCTCGATTTCAAACAAAGGACCTAGGTCCTTTAAAATACTTCTTGGGAATTGAAGTATTTCGTACTCGGAAAGGGATATGTTTGTCTCAACGGAAATATTGTTTGGATGTATCGAATGACTCTGGTATGGTTGAAACAAAACCTTGTGAGGCCTCACTGATTCCAAATATGAAATTGAAAGCAGACGATGGAGATCTACTTGAGGATCTAGAAAAGTACAGAAGAATCGTGGGAAAGCTAAACTACCTGGCGATTACATGTCCTGACATCGCTTTTTCTAGTGAGTGTAGTAAGTTGGTTTATGTCATCTCCGAGAACTTCACATTGGGATGTTGTTAGGCATATACTAAAGTACCTAAGGGTGCTTATCCTTTATCAAAATCACGGTCATTATGTCATAGAAGGGTTCACAGATGCCGACTATAATGGGGATCCTACTACTAGGCGGTCTATGATAGGCTATTGTGTGTTGGTTGGAGGGAATCTAATTTCATGGAAAAGCAAGAAACAAAATGTCGTTTCCCGATCAAGTGTTGAATCTGAATACAGGGCTATGGCCCAAACCACTTGCGAGCTGATATGGTTGCATAATCTGCTAGGTGAAATTAGATTTGCTCAATCTAAACCAATGAACCTATATTGTGATAATGAGGCGGCTATCCACATTGCAAACAATCTCGTGTTTCATGAAAGAACAAAACACATCGAGGTTGACTGTCATTTCACTCGTGAAAAGCTAGAAGATGGAATCATTACAACTCCCTTTGTTCGAAGAGGAAGACAACTTGCTGATGTCTTTACCGAAGCATTACCTGGTTCGCGAATCTCTTTTATTTGTAACAAGCTAGGCATGATTAACATCTATGCTCCAGCTTGAGGGGGAGTGTTAAGATACTCAATCTCCTTGAAGATACTCGATATCATTGTAAAATAGGAATTGGAGATTATGGGTAATATCTCCTTGTAATTTGTTGCTGTGAATATCTTAGGAATCCTTTCCTTTTCTTCTCATATTCTTTGTGTATATATAGCCTTTGTACCTCCCTCTTTTGAGACAAGTGAAATAAACAAAGAATTCTACATTCACATATGCATCTTCAAATGGATTACTTCCGGATTTGCCAATAATTCACATATGAATCATTTATTTGTACCTGTTTGCGTTTGTTATTTGAACCTTTCCCTGCTTGTATATATGTATATGCTTGTGGAAGGTGGTCTCTTCCACTATCATAAGGAGGGTACATTGTTTCTCTATATCATGAGGTAGTAGCACATAGGGTGAATTGGTGGTTGTAATGGCTGTACATTGTCACCCAATGGGACACTAAGGGGCCGTTTACTAGATACTTACCCGGTAAGTGTGGATCGGGTAACTTTCCTCACCTGATGCACATGGCAAGGGCTGAAAATTACCCGGTAAGAGCGATGATAGGGATAGAGAGTTTTACCCAGTAAGTGATGGTGAGGACTCTTACCCAATAAATTGTTGCATACGATACCGTTTTAATATACTACAATCTTATCTGGTAAAATAGATTATAGTGTTGACTCCTATTGGTAAGCTCTTACCGGGTAAGTATTTGGGTAAACGGCCCTAATTATCCTCCTATACACATGTATCTATTTGTATGTATATAGAAGATGATATACATAATTACTAAATTTAAACCCTCATATACCCACCATTCATTCTACTTGTGTGATCATGGATCTTATTTCAACCATAGAACAAGATACCCATTTTAAAAAATCTTCAAATCCCTAACCAAAAAAATCAACAGCAGATTCCATCTTAAAACTTGTGTGCTACCATGCCGTTACTAAGGTTTCCATGTGGTCTCTTTTTGACAACCAAAAATCATTCCACATTTGTATTTGTTTGCCATGCCATACTTTCATTTCATTTACTACAACTCTCGCATCAAATTACCGAAATATGATACTCGAGCATAAGCATGGCGTGGAAATCAAAGCTCATTTACTGCAAACTGGTAGCTGGATTATCTCGAATCTTGGTTCTAAACTTTTACATAAATAATGGCAGGTTGTGAGCTATGAAGAAGATTTATCAGGGAGGCAGATGATCATAGACAGAGTTCGGACACGAAGTGGCCTCACACCCAACCCATCATCATTAACATGACGTGGACCGATAACATGGAAAAATGGCACTCAACTAACCTTTCGGTCTAGTCTCGTCTGGTGTTGCGGGTTTAGTTAGCGCGGGTGACGATAAAATGAAAAAAAAAACACAACCAAATATGTAAAACTGGTAAGAGTAGACTGCATCAACATATATTTTCATCTGGTACTTGTATAAGGGATGTATATCTTGATAGTTAGAAAAAGAATACATCATATTAGTAAATGTAAATTTGTTGCATCACTTTCTAATTCTGTTATAACCCGGTTTCAGACAATCTGGGTTAAGGTAAAATTATATGTGATTAATATTTGAATATCTAATGGTATGCATGATAAAATAATATACATGGATGATATATGTGCAAAGACATGATGAATGTAAGAGGATGCATGCATATGTTATGTATGTGTATACATGTGATAAATTGCATACCTTAATAGATAAGGTACATGTGCAATATAATAATAAAGTAATGGTATCTTAGTGATGAAGTAAGGTAATGGTATCTTAGTGAGGAAGTAAAGTAATGATATCTTAGTGAGGAAGTAAAGTAATGGTATCTTAGTGAGGAAGTAAAGTAATGGTATCTTAGTGAGGAAGTAAAGTAATGGTATCTTAGTGAGGAAGTAAAGTAATAGGTATCTTAGTGAGGAAGTAAAGTAATAGGTATCTTAGTGAGGAAGTAAAGTAATAGGTATCTTAGTGAGGAAGTAAAGTAATGGTATCTTAGTGATGAAGTAAARTATTGGTATCTTAGAAATGAGTATAAATAGAACGATAAGACAAGATAATCTTATCATTCCTTGTTTTGAAATAAGAGATATTTCTTAGAAAGAAAAGTCGAAGACGGTGAAGGTGTTCTTGAGAAAGAACCAGTGTTTTAARGAATCTGTGTTTGCTGTGTGATCTTTTACTACAGAATCTGTTTTAACAAGGTGAGTTTAACTACTGTATTGATATAACTTGTGAGTTTTGAACTACGATCTGTTTACAAACCGTGAGTTTATATCTACTGTTGATTTTGTAAGCTTTTGAGTATTGATGGTTTGAAACTTAAAAGAATTTGGTAAAACTATT